CTGGGCTCAGCCTGACCCTGCAACGTCTCTGTGCTCAGGGGAGCTGCCCATGGAACCAAGGATTGGATTTGGATTTTCTCCCAATCCAAACCATCCATGATCCAACTCTGTTGCTCAGGGTCTCAAACCTCAGCGATGTCCTTTAAACCCCACCTCGTGTTACCAATCTTGGTTTGTTCTGTTATTAACCCAAAGCTTAGAAAACATAATTGCAGCACTCACAGAGAGATTTGCTGTAACCATATGGAAGGAAAGCTTTTAGGGACGACATTTCTCCCATATTGATTCAGCAGTGCCTTCAGAAGTAAAGGTTATGCCTATTAAATTATTTCTGAAAAGGTAACTGCAAAAATTAAAATTCTTTCAGATTAGCATTTACAAAAAAAAAAAAAAACCTTTAATACGAAATTTCTTCAGAATGTGTCACTTCAAAAGAATGCCAAGCACTACTTTAGGAGGTGCAACTTCTTTTTAAATGGCGTTTTTGCCTCTAAAAAAGGAATTTCTTGTGTTGCTGGAGAAGGTGTTGTACACAGAGCGCTGCTGCCAAGGCTGGGGGTTGCCTAGCAATGCTGGGAGGGGAGAGGGGAGAAAGCAATAACAACCAGAATTGTGGAGCCACAGCATTAAATTGGTCTGCAATACTTATCAGCTAAATGAGAAAGGCTCCAGGCTCTGCTCGGAGCTGATAAAATCTCCTGATCACTCCCAAACATCTCCCTTCTCTTCTTCTCTTCCACACCCACTGGACACTGTGGAACTCTCCTGCTCAGGTTATTCCAACTCAGTTCCTGCCCTGGCTGGGGCTGGGGGCAAACTCCAGGGTCCAACCCAACAAAAATCTCATAAAACCTGGGACTAGGGGCAAACTCCAGGGTCCAACCCAACAAAAATCCCATAAAAACTGGGACTAGGGACAAACTCCAGGGTCCAACCCAACAAAAATCCCATAAAAACTGGGACTGGGGGCAAACTCCAGGGTCCAACCCAACAAAAATGCCATAAAAACTGGGACTGGGGGCACATAAAAACTGGAGTTTCCCTATTTCCAGCTCCTGCTCCAAACTGAACCAGAGGAAGCCCAGTTCCCTGCAGAGCTCCCTGGCGGGGTTGGAACTGGGATTCCCGCTGGGATGTGTCTGGGAGCAGCTCCTGGCTCACCTGTGGCCTCGTCCAGGCTCTCGAGGGACACGTGCTCGTTCTGGTGCACCCAGTCCCCGTTGCACTTGAAGAAGATCTGCATGGCGGGCACGGCCCGGCAGCGCAGCACGATGGGGTTGCTCTTGATGATGTAGGAATCGTCCGGCTCCTCCAGGAAATGGGGCAGGGTCCCCGGGGCTGAGGGGATGGACTCGGGCAGGGCCTCGCTGTTCTCATTTCCTGCAAGGCAACCAAAGGAACAGTCACGTTTTTCACGTTTCTTCCACAGTCCCATTTTACTGCTGGAGGGAGAAACCGGCTTTGGGTTTTATTTAGGATGGGTTTTACTCCAGGAGCGCCTGCAGAGCTGCTGGGCTGGGCTTTGCGAGGCCAAACACACAGAGGAAAAAAATCAAATAATTGAAGTGTAAGAGCTGTCAAAGTGCCACAAAAGAGCAGAAAACTGCCCCGCAGGTGGGAACTGGGGGTTCAGAAGCTGCAGGATGTGAGTGGAGAAGCTTTCACCACTCCTGCACATCCTCCCAGGACTGTGATCCCCAGCTGCCATCAGGCCAAGGGAATTCCTCCAGCAGGGAATGAGCCCAGCGCCCTCCGCTCCTGAATTCCAGAGGCGCTGGAACAGAGGCTTTGCCTTTAGAACAGCGCCCATCCCGTCAAATCCTGTCAAAGCCAGGAAATTCCCACTGATCTCCGGCACTGCTGCGGTTTATTTCAGCACTTTGTCAGTTTTTGGCCGGAATTCAGAGGAAAGCAACAGATCTGAGTGAGAAGGGATTGATTTCTGCAGGAGGAGCAGAGAGCACCGAGCACACCCGGTTGGGATGAGGGGACGAGTGTGAGGATGGCGGGAGCTGGGATCAGACAGGGAACAGCCGAGGGCACGAGGGAGGTGACACACGAACCCAAAGCAGTGAAATTAAGGCAGATGAGAGGGAAGTTGCATTGCTGTGAAGGAAAATGAAACCTTTCTCTTGCCTGGGAGATGCCAGACTAATGAGAACGGTGTTTTATTTCTATTAAATCCCGGAGCTGTCCCTCAGCACCGAGCTCTGTGTGCAAACACTCCCCGAGCTGTGCTGGGGAATCACAGCCACCTTCAAACGAGTTCAGCGCTTTCAAGCCCTTCACAGGGTGCTTTATAAAATATTATCACAACTTTCAGCGTTTTACTCCCGAACATTGATGCCAATTTCCATCTTGTCAGTCTTCAGCAACGTTGCGTCCCTGCAGGCTTTATTAAATCCGAGTTTTATAGGAAATAACAAAAAAATGTCATAAGATTTTTGGAGAGGCTTGGAAATCCCAGGCTCCCACGAAGGCTCCAGCAGTGCTGGAGTGGAGGCAGAGCAGCAGCTGAGTCCGGGAGGATCACCCAGCTGGAGAACTCCCAGTGACCCCGAGTTATTCCACTGAATTTGCTATTTAGGGCAAGGCGGGGAGGAGGCGATCCCAGCCCCACTGACATCCAGGGCGGATTTCTCCTGGCAGGTTGTGTCTGCATTGAGTGGTCTGGCTTTTTTTGGGTGTCAGGCAGATTTTGGGGCTGGGAGTGGCTCCTTCCTGATGGAAACCTCTCAGGTGACCAGGAAAATGCGGGTGCATCTTTTCCCTTCGCCGTTTTCCTTTGAAAATCCAGCCAGCAGGTCCAAAGCAGGAATGATCCCCCCTCACACCCACAGACAGATCTTACTGTATTTTACAAATGGAATTGCCTGAATTCCTCGTTTCAGGGTGTCCCTGCCCCAGGTGGAATCAGCACAATGTTCCTGGATAAAGAACATTTTTCCCCTCTCCTAAAGTGCCCTCAACACTCAGGATTTTACCTCAAAGCCTCTTCCTCTTGTGATCGAGTTTCTTGTGCCCCAACTGGAATTCACACTCCCCTGGAAGCTGCTGGAACTTTCCCAGGGGCTGACTGCAAATCCCTGAGGTTTTCCATGTCAGTTTTTGGCATTCAGGCCCTTCAGAACTACACAAAAAAAGCTGTTTTGTAGCAGTAGGAAATGACAGAAGAGCAAAGCCTGACACACAATTCTTGTGCTTTTCATTCCTGGAAAATTACCTTTCAGGAAGGGTTTTGTGTTTTATGCTCTGCACGCGAGGCCAAAAGGGACTTTAAATCTTTTTATGACAATAATAGAAATGAAAAAGAAAGGAGGGGAAAAAAAAAAAAGTTAGGAAGAAGCATTAAATTCTTCTCTGAAATAAACACACTGCTGTTGTCAGAACACATTAGGAGATCTGGACAGCAGCAGACAGGGATGAGTCAGTATTTCAAAACTGATTAGGATAATTTAGATGTTAAAATGAGATCTTAAACAGTGAAAAACTGTGAATTCTGAACTCTTTTTTTTTTTTTTTCAAATTAAGAATTATTTAAAGTGAGCAGCATTATTCTTTCTGCATCAGAAAACCCAAAACAAACAAACAAAAAAACAAAACCAAAAGTTAAAGTGTCCCCAACAAACAAAGTTACTCATGATAAATACAAATAAATCTGGCAATAAATTGTGCAGAGACTTTTCCCAAGGGTCTAAACACAACTTCTTTTACACTTTTTGGTACTAGGAAAACAAAGCTCTAAATTTCCCAAATGGGGTGAATTCCCCTCTCTGATCCAGCAGCCCCGGGATCAGAGGGAGCTCTTTTCCCTCTCTGCTGGGATTTTGGGATTTGGGATTTCCCTCTCTGCTGGGGTTTGGGGTTTGGGATTTCCCTCTCTGCTGGGGTTTGGGATTTTTTCCTCTCTGCTGGGGTTTGGGATTTGGGATTTCCCTCTCTGCTGGGATTTGAGATTTCCCTCTCTGCCCAGGGTTTGGGGTTTGGGATCTGGGATTTCCCTCTCTGCTGGGATTTGGGATTTGGGTTTTCCCTCTCTGCTGGGATTTGGGATTTCCCTCTCTTCCCAAGGTTTGGGATTTCTCTCTCTGCCCAGGGTTTGGGATTTTCTCTGATTTATGGCACTGCCCTGAAGCAATTCCTCCTGCAGGAGCCATTCCCACATACAAACATTCCCAGTTCCCTCCAAGCTCCTTGTCCAGCTCAGGAATTCCTCCCTCTTTGTTTCCTTTTCCCATTTACAAATGCTGGCAGCAGCACTGGGTTATTCCCTGCTACTTTGAATGTTTTCTGTCCCAATCCAGAAGGAAAAAGCCTTTTCCCAGCTGGAAACATCCCAGCCCCTCCTTTGGACAGGCCCATTCAGGAGCAGAAACATGACTGGAGATATCCCAATATCCCAAATATTCACATTCCTCCCTTTCCATGTGTCCAGCACCGCTGATCCCTGCTGGCCTCCAACCTCTGCAGCCAGGATTTCCCCCAAATAAATTCAAGTGCCTTTCCCATGTGTGCTCAGCTCGCCAGGGAAGTCAGGGCGTGGAAAAATAAAAAGCCTGATCCAGAATAGAGAATTTCCTCATGCCTGGAATGGTTTCCATGATGAAATTTGAGTCATTATTCAGTCAGAAAAGCAGCTCGGTGAGATTTGCCTACATTTGCTTAATCAGATGACCCCGGTCCCCACGCAAAGTGGGTTTTTGGAAAGCGCTCAGAAATTGATGGGAATGGCAGATTTTGTTGCCCACGTGAAATCCTTTAATGCCTCTGCTGCTTCCCCTGGCTGGGGGATTTGCTGAGGCCCCAGGACAGGGAATTTAGCAGAGACTAAATTTGGAGAGATGGGAGACCCAGAAACAAATCCACTCCAAAGGGAACTCCCAGCTCATCCCATCCCACCCCTGCCACGGGCAGGGGACATTCCACCACACCAGCTTGCTCATCTCCATTTGTGCCTGTTTTTTCAGTGCTTTTAGCAGAATTCCTGATTTTCTTCCTGTCTGCTGTACAGCCCAAAGCCAGATTTAGTTTCATTAATGAACTTCAAATGCCCTTTCCCAACAATACAGTGGATTTCTTACTGGGTGTTTACAATTTTCCCTGTGAGGAAGAACCCTCAGTAAATCAGTGAACTCTCAATAAATGAATGAACCCTCAATTAATCAATGAACCCCTCAATTAATCAGTGAATCCCTCAATAAATCAATGAACAATTAATCAACAAACTCCTCAATAAATCAGTGAACCCTTAATTAATCAATGAACACTCAATTAATCGATGAACCCTTCAATAAATCAATGAACTCTCAGTAAATCAATGAACACTCAATAAATCTATGAATTCTCAATTAATCAGTGAACCCTATTGAGGGTTCACTGATTAATTGAGACCATGAATGATAAATGAACCATAAATCAATGAATTCTCAATAAATCAGTGAATTCTTGATAGATCAATTAAACCCTCAGCAAACCCAGCACTCCTCAGGGAGCTCTGGTGGGGATCCAGGGATCTGTAAAACCCCAGCTCATTCCCGTGTTCCCGTGCTCTCTCAAATTCCCAGCCCAGCTCATTCTTCCCGTGCTCTCTCAAATTCCCAGCCCAGCACATTCCCGTGTTCCCGTGCTCTCTCAAATTCCCAGCCCAGCTCATTCCTGTGTTCCCGTGCTCTCTCAAATTCCCAGCCCAGCTCATTCCCGTGTTCCCATCACTCTCTCAAATTCCCAGCCCAGCTCATTCCCATGTTCCCATCACTCTCTCAAATTCCCAGCCCAGCTCATTCCCGTGTTCCCGTGCTCTCTCAAATTCCCAGCCCAGCTCATTCCTGTGTTCCCGTGCTCTCTCAAATTCCCAGCCCAGCTCATTCCCATGTTCCTGTGCTCTCTCCCGAATTCCCAGCCCATGCTGAGATCCACAAGTGCTGCAGCTCCCTCTCACCCCCCGATATCCCACATTAACTTCTCCAGACCCTCCTGCTTCCCGTGGATATAAAGGATAAACTTCCAGTGGCTCTGCCGTAATCCTTCCCATCAAATATTTGGGCGACAGGTGGAAAATTGTTCTGCCAGCTGAGGAAGACAAAATCCATCCCTCCCGGCAATTTTCCGCAGTGGAAACTCCAAAAAACGAATGTGTGATAAGTTGTGGAAATCAATCCGGGATATTGTCCTGCCCCAGCAGCGTGCTGGAGATCTTCAGGCACACGAACCCCGCTTATCCAGGTGTTAAAAATCTCCAGGGTGGGACACTCGAGGCTGTCAGCTCTGCTCCAGCTCGGGGCTGCTGGGATCACCCTGGGGCTGGCAGAGGGGAGCTCCCTCTGTTCCCTCTGGCCCCAGAGCCAGCCTGGAGGTCACTGGGGAAGGGACAAACTCTGCCAGGACTCAGGGGGGCACTCAGAGGGACAGGAGGAGCTGGGAGCAGCCCTGGGCTCTCCTCTGGCCCGGGAAGCGAAGCCAAGGCTGGAGCTCCTCCTGTCCCTGCCAGGAGCACACCCTGGTCCCAGCAGAGCTCTCTGCTCCCCAGACATCCCCAGACATTTCTGGCACTGCTTTCCCCCTGCTCTGCACCTGCGTTTGTCACCCAAAGCTGAGTGTCACCGGGCAGGCCCTGCTGGCTGTGCCTGTGCTGGCACACCCAGGATGCTGCTCCTGCCCATCCCTTTCCCAGCCCCATTCCCTCCTTCCCGTCTCCTCTCCCCAGCTCCTGCTCCGGGCTCACTCACACCTTTGTTCCTAGAAAGGAGAGGGAGTTTAACACATCCCACCTTTACCCACAAATTCCGGCCTTCATTCTCCTCTGGCTCTGTC